TGCGTTTGGAAACAAAGATGAAGTTCTCAAGGTGAATGCATACCTTGACGCTAGGGGTCTAACAACTAAAAATCAAGTCAGGAATCTTGGTGTGTCTCTAAAGTCAGACCTTAGTTTCAGTAGTCATGTCAAAGCAATAACTAAATCAGCATACTATCATCTGAAAAATATTACAAGAATTAGATGCTTTGTTTCAAATCAAGACTTAGAGAAACTTGTTCATGCTTTTATCACCAGCAGGGTGGATTATTGTAATGGTCTCCTTACTGGCCTTCCTAAAAAGACCATGGGCCCTATTTTAACGATCTGAAACGCAAGTGTCAAAGCGCAAAGCGCAAGTAACTTTGTGGGCGGATCCCGGCGCTGTTGCTATTTTCCCGGCGGGATAAATGCCTCTTGCGCCTGGCGCAAATCTAAAAGCGGTTGTCTGAAGTAGCTTCATTATTCATAGGTGTGGTTTGGGCGTAACGTGAAATAAACCAATCAGAGCGTCATCTCACATTCCCTTTAAGAGCAGGCGCGCTTGTTCTAAAGCGGATTCCTATTATAACGGCGGATTTGCCAGGCGCGCGCCAGGAGCGGTTCACAGCCGAGGAGAGCAACATTCTCGTCAGGGCCGTAAAACACAGAGAAGTGACATTGGGCATGGAGAAACCCACCCAAATTAACTTCTGTTAAACAGGCGTATGATAATTTGGGTAAATGTGTAAGCTACATGTATGCTTTTATAATAAATTGTCTATCTATCTATCTATCTATCTATCTATCTATCTATCTATCTATCTATCTATCTATCTATCTATCTATCTATCTATCTATCTATCTATCTATCTATCTATCTATCGTAATAATGTATGATTTGCAAAAATGAAAACTGCTGCTTAGATGAGAGAATCAACGTGTATGCGCGTTGTGCACACGCTACATTGATTATGGCCAAGCATGCGCGCTTAAAATAGCATTATGAACAACGCGCAACGCGCCACTGACTTTAGACTAGGTTTTTTCTGGTCAGTGGCGCAATTGTCTTATAGAACAGCAAAATAGCATGAGGGAAAGTTTGCGCCGGAACACGCCTCCTCTTTGCGCTGAACCGCCCCGGGGAGCGCAAGTGTATTTCTTAATTAACCGACGTGCGTCTGTGGAGGGAAAAGTCCGCTTTGCGCGGGTGCAAAATAGGAATGATACATGCGTCAGTGTACTAAGTCATTTGCGCCGAATGCAAGATAGGGCCCCATAAGACAGTTGCAGCTCATACAGAACGCAGCTGCCAGGATTCTGAGCAGGACCAGAAAATTTGAACATATCACACCAGTCCTCAGGTCTTTACATTGGCTCCCCGTTACATTTAGGATTGATTTTAAAGTATTATTACTGGTATATAAATCATTCAATGGGCTAGGACCTCAATATATTGCAGATATGCTCACTGAATATAAACCTAACAGATCACTCAGATCACATCAGTTAGAAATACCAAGGATTCACTCTAAGCATGGAGAGTCTGCTTTTAGCTATTATGCCAGACGCAGCTGGAACCAGCTTCCAGAGGAGATCAGATGTGCTCCTACAGTAGTCACTTTCAAATCCAGACTCAAAACACATCTGTTTAGCTATGCATTTACTGAATGAGCACTGTGCCACTGTTCGTCCGACTGTTTTTACTGTACTGTATTTTATTTTTTATTCTAAACTGTTTTAATTATTCTTATTTGTTTTGATTATTTTAATTTCTTCTGTATACAGCACTTTGAATTACCATTGTGTATGAAATGTGCTATATAAATAAGCTTGCCTTGCAGCCTTGGCTAAATTAAGTATACATGAGATTAAATAATGATCTAAGATGTCATCCCTCTGCTGCAGAATTTCAACGGCATCAACATTTATTCCATGTGCAATATTAGATCCAAAGTATGATTACGACAATGAATGGGTCCTGAGGTTGTCTAACTCCAATAGAGTTCAGAATGTCTTTAATTGCCAACCCCATAGCATTTTTTTCATTATCTACATGGATATTAAAATCACCAACAATTAGGACTTTATCTGCAGCCAGTACTAACTCTGATAGAAAATCAGCAATTTCTTTGATAAAGTCTGTATGGTGCCCTGGTGGCCTGTATACAGTATCCAGCACAAATCTCAAACGTGATTAATCATTTACACTATATATTGTTACATTAAGCATCAACACTTCAAAATAATTATATTTGAAACTAGACGACTTAGTAATTCTGAAAATATAACTATAAATTACAGCAACATTATTACTATAAGGCCCTTTGCCTTTCATATGAGGTTCATGTTTAAAGTATTAATCTTGGGGGGTGGACTCATTTAAAGTAATGTAATTGTTTTGTTTTAGCCAGGTTTCTGTCAAACACAGCACATCTAGGTTACAGTAATCATATCATTAACAATAAGTGCTTTTGAAGTAAGGGATTGAATATTCAGCAACCCAAGCTTTATCATTTGTTCATTTGTATTATATCTGTTTTTTATTTGATGAACATCAATTATATTTTTACCCTTTTTTGTATTTCCTAATCCGGGGAACAGACACAGTCTCTATATGATGATATCTAGGTGAAAGAGTCTCTATGTGATGGGATTTATCTGACCTTGGTGACGTGAGACAGCTAGCAGACGGTCGGTTTAGCCAGTCTGTCTGCTTGCTGACCTGAGCCCCAGATTGTCACGTTTGAGCTCTAAGACTATGTGCCATATTACTAGAGAGAAGAGCAGCACCATCCCAGGAGGGATGAATACCATCTCTTTTCAACAGGTCAGGTCAGGTCTGCCCCAAAAACTATTCCAATTGTCTATGAATTCTATATTATTTTGCGGACACCACTTCGACAGCCAACCATTGAGTGAGGACAGTCTACTAACTCATCACTCCTTCGAACAGGAAGGGGGCCAAAGCAAATTACAGTGCCTGACATCGTACTTGTGAGTTCACACATCTATTTAACGTTAATTTTAGTGATCTCCGACTGGCGAAGTCAAACATCATTAGTGCCAACGTGAATAATAGACTATCTTAAGGACTAGTTTGACCAACCAGCAGTTAGTCTTACTTTTAAGATTTGTCAAATTAGACAAATCTAACTTTCATGTAAATGACTTTAGAAAGTTAGGAAGTCTGGTAGAAAAAATTTGATGACTAACTTTAAAACGAGTCTAAGCAGTTTATGCAACCGGCCACAAGTGTTACTTGCTGTATTTTATTATCTAATGGAATGACAATCTAAGTGTGAATTAAGTATCTGAATACTTTATAAAGGAAATGTAACTTATTCTTTTATCTGCATACTGAAAACGACAGTTACTAATTCAGGGCAATATGATCTCGTCAGCTTTATATAAAGGTGGATTTGCAAGAAAGTAAAAAAAACATCAATGACCTTTAGTGTCAGGTGTCAGTACTGATGTGAGATGACTCACAGTTCTATATTATAGCATTCCTAAAGAGCTTAAGGGAAAATTACATCCATGAGGATCTTGCATTGAGTTTTCATTGAAACAAACAGTCAAGAACAGGCGTGTTAGTGCCTGACACAAACACAAAAGTCTCAACTGAAAAGAAAACCACCATAACCTGATGTTAATATGCACTTTTAATGAACAGGGCACTATTGGACTTGGTGATAGAGGCACAAATACCGGTTTATTTATTTGGGAACTATTAGATAATAATCTACTATAAAATTAAACTAGCTGATTTTTTTTTACCACCTATACACACATTGTAGTGTTGACTGCCCTATTACTAAGTTATTGTAAGAAAAACTGATGTACTTAGACATTTTCCAAATGGTGGCAACAGGGTTGCAACAATCACAAAGCTCATAATAATTATTTGACATCCAAAAACTGACAATAGGGTTGCACCATGTCAAATCAGCTTCCTCAGCTGAAATTTGTGCTTTTGTTAAGCCTGTTTAAGGAAGGAAGATAGACACGAATGATTAAATAAAAATGGTCAATATTAATTAATTTAACTTTATTTTATTTGAAGCTACACTACAAATCAACCTTATAATAGTGGCAGCATCATTATTTTAGTTTTACACAGCGATATTAAGTATATTATTAAAACCAGTTGACTTCAGCACCCAATTTCTTCATTTGTGTATTTCTAAACTTCAGGATGTTGTTTTTTTTGTTTTTTTTTTAAAGGCTTGTGATTTTAGCTACTTCAGGTCCACATTTCCATTTCACAGATGGGATACATGCTAACTGAAGTACTGCAGAATGATACATGTAACAGTTCATGGAATATTGCTATAGGATTGAAACAAGCTTATTTTCTGTAGGAAGTGTTAAGCCCATTTAATTTGTGAAGAAACTACACAAGTTTATAACCAAGTTTTTTTTCCCTGCCTGCCAGACAGGATAGTTTTTTATGTACTTGCTCCACCACAAAAGAATGATCAATTATATTTTAATATATGTTATATATATATTTGTATTTGTATAAATTACATTTATTTTTCTTTATAGAAAGAAAATGTACATTTGGACAATGTACTTTCTGAGAAATCAGACAAAGTTTCAGTCAATCTCAATCCATTGAAAAAAAATCAATTCTTGACTATTACAAGTCATCTGTGCTAAATAACAGCGATATAAATATAAACAGCAAAAATGATATAAATACATCACTGAAAACCAAACATTTACATTAGCAAGGCACAAAAAAGGAATGTACAAGAATCAATGAATGAAACATTTTCAGGGGAAAAAGCACAGGCTCTAAAAGGGCAAATGACAATCCCATCACCTGGACTGAAGCTCTGTCACACAGGCAGGTCATTCTTCTTCACAACATTGGCAGACAATGCTTAAAGGATGCTGAAATTAATTATTTCTTGTACTCAAGGATATGCAAGTATATTACAGTGTATTACCTAACTTTTCCAAAGTTCTATTTTTGAACCCCAAATCATAAGAAATGAAAGGATTTTTCTTGTAATCCTCTCTTTCATGCACAGATGCCGAGAGGGAAAACCTGCAGAGCAAAGTTCCAGGCCAGTAAAGCGGAGAAGCTCACGCTGTCTGGCTGTAGCAGCGTTAAGAAGTACCGGCTAACGTACTGCGGCATCTGCACAGACAAACGCTGCTGCCTTCCCAACAAGGCCACAATGCTGAACATAGACTTCCACTGCAAAGGAGGATCTAACGTACGCTGGAAGATGCAGTGGATCACGTCTTGTGTGTGTCAGAGGAAGTGTAACGGTGACGACGACATGTTCTCAGAGCTGCACTTAATATAAAACAGAGACAGAAAAAAAAGGAAGTACACAATGCTTATTAGTTTTACTCAAAGTAAGCTATAGCATATGCACAGTTTTGGCCAGAAATACACTATGCAAGTATGTAAACGAAGACACAAGTACCGTAAAACTTCAAATAATAGCCGAGTCCCAAATAGACGCCTCTCTCTTTTACACGCCTGGTGTGGCGACAGGTTTGGATAAATAAAGGCCGGTCTCAAATAGAGGCCTGGTCTGTTTTTTAGTTTCGGGTTGTATTTAATCTTCTAAAACCCGTCAGATCGTCTGTTTAAGCCAGTTCTATGGTGCAGATTGCGCACGCAAGAGAGCCCTGCACATCTGGATGGGAACTGTTACCGCAAGAAAGGCAGGCAGAGTTAGCGGAGGCCGGAGAGGGAGAAGTGGAGGAGAGTGACGAGGAGGAGGAATTCGCCAATGAACTTGTAACTTGTATTGTTCGGCCCATGGCTGTCACATCGTTTCGTTGCCAATAATCTAATTCATTCAGTTAACGGACACTCTGAGGTAAAGTGTTCAGACTGCAGACTTAGCAACGATTGTATTTGATTGTACAGTACAATCATAACATCATTACATAAAAAACATTATCTTAATTCCATAATGTCCTTAAACATAACAATATTGCTGGCCATGAACTGAGAAAGTGCGCGTCCGGGCGGTGTGCGATACCTCGAGTTGTCCTAGCGCTGCACTTCTCGTCTGGTGTTCGACCCCCTTTAGACAATATAGTAGGCTAATTCTTGCATTAACTGATTTATTAAACACATTCGAATTATAACTAAAACGTAATATAATGTGGTAACCTCCTACTGTCATGCTTTCCGTCTATCAGCCTATGCTATTTGGGTCGTTTTCTCTAGGCCTACACTCAATGAAAAACACCTCAACACTAAATTAAAGGCCTGTCTCATATAGACGCCTGTCTCAAATACAAGCCGGTGCAGTTCGGCCATTTGGGAAAATAAAAGCCCGGGCTATTATTTGAAGTTTTACGGTAATTTACAACACGCTCCTGTTGTAAATGTGTTCATGCACTTTTGTGCTGGTAATAAACCTCAGTTGTCTGCCATTGAACTGAATGTGTTGGTTCATACGCTTTTATAACATGTAATGGGATGGTTCATAAAGACCTAATTCAAACTGTTGTTTTACAGTAGTTGACCAAGAAGAGGTAAAGACCAAATGTGTTTTCACTAATGAAACTATCCACCTTATTTTTAATGTAGAGCGAGTGCAGCCATTTGTAAATTGAATGTGTCTGGCTTCCAGTGTCATCCGCTTAGTTATTTTTAGCTGAACAAAACAGCTGGTTATGCTGCTTGATAATGCAAACTGGCATTTCTTACCATATTATTTTAATGTATTGTCGTAATTATAAACTAGTTTGTAGCACAAATAGTTGTAATGTTTGCTGCACTTTGTTATTCTTCTAGTTATTTACCTATAGCAGCTAAATGAATCAGAAGTCTCGCACATTCACAAAAATATCTTTTTCCACGATGTAAAATATGGTGGATAGCGTCCCTAGAGTCGACGCAGAAAGTGCAGTGTGTACTTGTTATGAAATGACTTTCATAAGCACCAGTGAAATTGTGTCTGCGTTCACATATTTGAATAGAGTATGTTTCAGCCCTAAACGCCAACTGTCAAAACAAATCTAAATCAGTGTTTTACTCTGTTGTTTGGAATATGGCAAGTAAAGAAGAAGGGGGGACATTTTGTAAACGCTTTAATGAAGCAATGTCAAACATGTTAATACACGTCTTGCTTTAACTCGGACTCAAATTCTCAGTCACAGGTACCTGTAGAGATAACATTATCAAGTGAATTTGTAGGATAACATGCTGTCCTTCAAAAACTCAGCTCAGAGGTTAAACATTGATATATGCTTCTGAATAAGTCAAAATAATTTAAACCTCTTTAAAAACACACATCTACACTACGCATTATCCTGAAGTGAAGCTCAACCAACTAGAGGTGACACTGAAAACAGAAATCGTGCCAAAATCAAGGTCTACAATGGAATACCCAGAGAAAGCCATTGTTTAGCATTCCTATTCATGTTCAACTGCATACATATTCATGAAGGAAAAATATATTTTTCATATCTTAAGGTCTGAACAGAAGACAAGAAAAAAGTCATTTAAAATAGAGCATTAATGTGGTGTATATGGGGAAAGGTAATATTAATATAAATAATATATTCAGGGGCAAACTGAAGTCAAGAGTCGGATGAACCGGCACAGCACACACTCCCATCGGTGGCTGCCGCAGCACTGTGCATTTGCATAGAGCTGAACTCTCTTGAACTTTGCAACAATTCATCAACTCTCATTGAATATGATTGACTTCCAGACAATTAGTCACTGCATGTTATTTCTGACCAGTTTTGTACCTAGACAGTGCTGTTAAAAGACCAAATTCAACATACACCTTATTGATGATGCATACTACATATGGGCAGACAGATGAACCTTTATCACAATATGAACGCAACACATTTAACTGCATGTTAAGCGTTTTTACATAGAAAATCCTTATAGAGAAAATGTTTGATATGGCTTAATGCATTAAGCTCATATTCTGGGCTCGTGTGTTCCTGTATATAGCATGCATCATCAATAAGGTGTATACTGAATTTGATCTTTTAAATAGTACATGAAGCCACGTTAAGTGTTTAGGATGTCCTGCTGTTTGGAGTGATTGAAATACTGTGGTGGGTGCCGTTTATGGATCACAGGTGTGCAGAACTTGCTTTTCTGTTCACATATATTTTAGAGGTGATCTTAATATTCATGGCTTGTAACAGATTGATAATTGACAGGCCTGTGCTGCAGTTGTATGGGTCTTTTGCTCTCCAGGTCTCTGTGCCAGTCATGGGACTGAAAACTATGAATTGGTGTATGTGTGAACAGCTCTCAAGATTTTGACCCACCTATAGGGTATCTGTATGCAGTGCTGGGCAGATATATCGCAAATTGTAGTCTTTGTCTAATTTCATATTACATGACGCAAATTGTAGTCAGTAATGTAATCTATTACACATTTTAGGTAATGTATTCGGACTACTTTTAGATTACTTTTGATCAAACTTGTTTAAAATCTCAGGGGTCTCCAAAAAAATATTTTAGGTCAAAGGGGTTTGTCTGACAAAAAAAAGTTTGGGAATCCCTGCATTACATGAACAAATAATAATAAACATGAAAACAGCAATGACATTACACATTCAACGCCTTTAGGGTTTTAAATATGTTTGTCACAGGATAAGATAAAGAGTGTCTCACAGCTATGCATCAGCAGTGTTTAGTAGTTCTACATTGTGAATATAGTCAAAGCTAAACGGTATGACACAATCAGATTTTTTAGAAAAGAAAATATAAGGGTAAAAAGAATAATTAGTGATAATGAATAAATTATGAATAATTTACTGCCAGTGTGTGAATCGAAATACGTAATCATATAATCCATAAAAAGTATTTGTAATCTGATTATGAGCATTTTAAAACATACTGTAATATAATCTAATTACAAGTACTAGATTTTTTAAATCTGATTACGCAATCCATATTACATTTAATCGGTTATTAATACCCATCACTGTATGTATGTTTAAGGACATTACATTTAAGACCTTTTATGGCTTTATGCAAGAATTTAAGATTGAATTTAATTAAAAACCTGAGGCATGAAAATGTTTTAAAGGTGACCTATAATTCAAAATTGAATTTACCTTGGTATAGTCAAATAACAAGAGTTCAGTGCATGGACATGACAGAGTGAATCTCAAACTGGACTGTTTTGGCGTTCTCATTTAATTCACGTTTATGAAAAACACCCCTGAAAAACGGTCGGTTCTCCACACAATACCGACTGTGACGCAATAGTCGGGATCATTAATATGTACGCCTTCAAATATTTGCATAATGCCAGCCCTCAATGCCAGGCGGAACTGCGCAGCCGAAGCATGGCAGTTGCTCAGTGTGGATGTACACATGAACACAAAAGTATTTTTTAGTTCCTTCATCTGAGCCTCTGAAGAAACAATGGGTTAATTTTATTTTCTCTGGAAATTTCCAAAGATTTCACCGACTGTTTCCTCAACTTGGGCCAATACAGAGCTGGCCTCGGATCGAGCTACCAAGCAACACTTTCTGATGTGTAATTGTTCAAGTTCAGACAGGTAATCTTTCTCTCAAAATCGTTCAATACTGTTTATGCATCAGTAAGTCAAGCCAGTGACTAAAATATCAGCATCACATCGTTTCTTTTAGTAGGATGAAAATAATCGTATTTAAATTGTGAACAAATTATATACAGAAAGCGATCAAAGAACAATCTTTCCACACAGCGCGACTTTATCTGGACACTTGCCAAACTCGTTATGAAATCAATGACGCACGTTACTGCACAACGAAGCTCTTACTGTATTTACATTATCGTGTTTGCATTGGTGAAAGCAGAGAGAGTGCAGAAACTGCTTTGCAATGATAAGATCTTCATTTTCGCGATCAACAGACTGTCATCTGCTCAATGCTCACCATGGCAACATTTTATGTGATGGGAATAGATCTAAATACTTTAAAAACATCTCACGATTCGTTCATCTCGATAGCTGTTATAGTAAAAACGTATAATAGCAGTAGTAAAAGTATTCGGGAGAGAGTTTCACATGTAATGCGTTGCTATTTCATATGCAAGCATGTCAGCCAATCACAGCAGTGGCCGCGGTTACACTGAATCCCACAGCAGAGGGATTCTGTTTGAATCCCTTCAAACAGAGTGTTCAAATCAGAGGCTAAAAGCAGGCTAGGAAAAATGCCATTTATTTCTAAATTATGAATATTTTTTTATCTAAAAAACATACTAACATTATAAGGGTAACCCAGGAAACATTATAAAATAATAAAAAAAAAACATTCTAGGGCACCTTTAAGGGAGACAGCTTCAAACACGACAACATGATCAATGAACTGTATCACTGGTCATTAGAGAAGGACAATAATACTTTAGGGACCTGCAACAATTGATTAAATTAAAACCTTCTGAATGAATGACCATAGTGATGTGAAAATAAGTGTAAAGTAAAAATACAGCTAACCTGCAAACAAATCATCTGCCAACAGGTCAATATAGAGAGAGCCATATTAAATCAGGATGAGAGTTTGACTGTGCCAATCACAAGACTAAAGTATTGACTGTGTATGTTAATCTAGGCATTTCTTGTGTTTTACTGAAGTGTAATGAAAAATTAATCTGTGTTTCCTTCTATTAAAACTGCATTATTCAGGCAATGTTTGATATTATGACTATTTATTAACTTTTTCATACAAAAAAGAAAAAAAACCTGTAATAACATTTTACAGGTGAAGTGCCACTAGTACGTGGATGGGCAATCCCGGCCCTGGAGTGCTACTGTCCTGCAGAGATGAGGTCCATCCCTAATCAAGAAGAATCAAGCCAATGTAATTACTTGATAATTACAGGTAGGTTTGTTACAATTAGGGATGGAGCTCAACTCTGCAGTACCAGAAGTGTCCATCAATGCACTAGTAGATCCACAGATCCACTCCACGTTCACACCACTGGTTGAGCCAATGTTTATATGTCTCTACAACAGAGACATTTTGCATTAAGAAAATATTGGTCCAGAAATTTGAAAGTATTTTTTTACTTATATTTTTGTCTAGTATCAAAGACTTTACAAAAGGCCTATTCTGGCGGTAATTGTTTCTCATGGGGCCGTAAGGTATTCTCAACCTTTTCAGGGGCTGGCCGGTGATTTTATTGCTGTTCGAATCCAGAATGTCAGTGTTTTTCTCCCACCACAAGCTCAAAAATCCCCAGCCGAATTACCTACTGTTATTTTGATAAACTCCAAGGTCGTGTGGTATTTTAATTGCTCCACATCACTAAGTTTACAAGAAGAGATCAATTCAAAATGTACTGTTTAAAAGTTTACTGTTTGCCACTGCCGAGCACCATAGGATAACAGTTGTGCTCCGCTGTAATTTGGATACATTTTAAAGATTTAGCCTACTTACACTTTTATTACTGAAATGCTGGAAAGTATTTACAAAAACAATATTTTATCACCACTCAAAGGAGAAACAGAAGAAAAGCAAGCAAGCATTTGAAAATGGCAACAACAATAAACATTTAAAATTATAAACCAAGCAGCTTTATGTCAAAAAGAGGCTGTATTAAAGGGATAGTTCGGCCAAAAATGATATTTAACACATGCATTACTCACCCTCAAGCCGTTCGAGATGCATATGTCAATCTTGTTTCAGACGAACACATTTTCAGTTATTTTAGAAAATGTCTTAGACCCTTCAGTGGATATAATGTGAAGCAATGGGGTCCACCTCCTTCATGTCCCAAAATGTGCATACATCCTTCACAAAAGTAATCCATCCGGCTCCAGGGGGATAAACGAAGGCCTTCTGAAGGTAATCCGTGCGGTTTTGTCGTAAAAATATACATATTTAAAACTTTATAAATGAAAATATCTGACTTCCGGCAACGATCGACGCGCGTTCACGGGTGATGGAAGTCGGCGTACGAGGTAGGACGTAGCGTAGGAACCGTCGTGACGTAGAACGAACGCGCCTGCGCAGCCAGAGAGCAGAGCAAAACAACGTCTACGTCACGACGGTTCCTACGCTACGTCCTACCTCGTACGCAGACTTCCATCACCCGTGAACGCGCGTCGATCGTTGCCGGAAGTCAGATATTTTCATTTATAAAGTTTTAAATATGTATATTTTTACGACAAAACCGCACGGATTACCCTCAGAAGGCCTTCGTTTATGCCCCAGGAGCCGGATGGATTACTTTTGTGAAGGATGTATGCACATTTTGGGACATGAAGGAGGTGGACCCCACTGCTTCACATTATATCCACTGAAGGGTCTAAGACATTTTCTAAAATAACTGAAAATGTGTTCGTCTGAAACAAGATTGACATATGCATCTCGAACGGCTTGAGGGTGAGTAATGCATGTGTTAAATATCATTTTTGGCCGAACTATCCCTTTAACTTATTTCTGCTCATTTCCACATTTTTTAAATGACATCCACCATTTTGAGATAAAATACAAGACAGAAAACTATAGCGCGTCTATCTTCCTATTTTTAAACAGGAGACATAAATAATCACATAATAAATGGGATATTATTTTCCTATTTTTAAATAAAATATACATTTATTCCAATTCCAAGCATATGACATTTTATTTACAGCAGACAATCATGCGAATGACCACGTGAGCAGCGCGTTCCTGGGTTCGTAGGATCACAAAACTCGCTTCCCAACAGCTAATAATTTGCCATCCGAATGCATGAGTTCAACACTTGAGGTGCCAAGCAAATTTATTTTTACAGACGTCCACATGAGAAACGATTACTGTCCGAATAGAGCTAAAGACGGTGTATTACTATGAATGGGAGAAAGTGCAGTGTGCAATATGGTGGAATAAGTCCCGCCTTCTAACTAAAAGAGCCAATCGCTGATTGGTAAAGTCTTCGCGTCACTGCAGCTGTTGTTAATGCTTTTTGAGCATAAGAAACAATATTTATGACAGTTGTTGTAAGATCTCATTTGTGATTTCAAATATGAAATTTAATCGTAAACTTTGTGTACAGCTTTGGAGAATTTGATGTTTCCCCATTCAAAGAGATAGGAGCTGTACTTGCAGGACTAAAATAGCTGCCCGAGAGGAGTTTCAAGGATGGCCGCCATCTGAAATGACTTGCCTTGAAAGGGTCTTTGCTAGTATACACAGCGTTCAGGTGGCGATGGTGAGTCTGGGCGCGTTGGGCATGAGAGGGTGTTCCAGGTGTGTGTAGTCTTCAATAAGATCCGAGATAGATGATAGTGCCTCATTAAATCCAGCCAACTCCATGCCATCCACTGCTAGATAATGATGCAAGTGAGCCTGAGGGCAGAACAAACAAAACACCATTAATACATACTGTACATATGGACACTAAAATTTAGGAATGTGAAGCAAAATATCAAACCATGTAGCTTTTATTTTAAATGACAATTTTAAATGGTCACAAGTTTGAGAGTCAATAAATTCAAATTCAATACAACTATTTTCAAAGGTGACATGTGTTACTGTTTAAGTCAAAATACTCTCCAGTAAGACATAAGACAACTTAAGCCATTTGGTTTCCCTGAAAAGTTTAAGTCCTGTGGCGCTATCATCCCAACCATGGGCCGGATTCGAATTGTAAAAATCCAATTCTCCTTTACTTGACATCTTAAAAGCCCAACGCATGACATGAAACCATTTACTTCCCCTTAAACTGTCATCATTGAGAAAACGAATCGGTTACCTAACGTAACCTCGGTTCTCTCTAGATGAGGGAACGAGTATTGCGTAAGCTAGCTTACGCTACGGGAAAGATTCATCTTTTCTGAGAAATTGAAGCCAAAAAATTATCCTATAATTTTGTATCCATTGTCAACGCAGTTCAGCTGCAGCAGACCATGAGCGGGCTAGCTAGCAGCTCATTGGTTCGCTCACAGAGAACTGCTTAAGCCTATGAGGAGATGCGAATGAACTCTCGGCCAATGAGAGTCTGACATGCTCTCATTACGTCAGAGCCCGCCGAAACGGGCGTGGTCAGAGAGTATATTACTGGCGTCCTAGGCTGTAAACTCTGGTTTTCATAGAATGAAGCGAGAACGCTAGTAGCACAAGCACGGCCAGGAACGCAATACTCGTTCCCTCATCTAGAGAGAACCGAGGTTACGTTAGGTAACCGATTCGTTCTCTTACGAGAGGTTCTCTCGTATTGCGTAAGCTAGCTTACGCTACGGGAACACCTGGTCAACGCCGTGCGTGCTAAGCATCCACTGTGAGTCTCAGGGGAGACCCCAGGGAACCCTTATGAGTGGGAATAAATATAAGTACATGTGACAAAGGCCAGCAGAGCGGGCCGGAGATTGTGTAGTGCATAAGCACATGATAGAGAGGGACAGAGCGAAACCGGTCTGTGTGAATAACTCCCTATAGTGCAGCTCAACCAGAAGAGCTGTAACATACTAGACTGCTAGTAGTTTAGCCTGCAAGGCGGGAACTTCCAGATTGTAAAATCTGACAAAGGTGGAGGGGGAAGCCCATCCCGCTGCCACACAAATGTCCTGAATGGAAAATCCGCTGAACCATGCCCACGATGAGGCCATGCCTCTAGTGGAATGAGCCCTGATGCCTAGAGGGCATGGCAGGTCTTTTGATGTGTATGCGGCTACAATGGCATCAACTATCCATTTGGATAGAGTCTGTTTCGAGGCAGCCGACCCCTTGGTGCGCCCACCGAACGAAACAAAAAGCTGCTCGGGTCGTCTGACCGGAGCAGTGCGAGTAATGTAGAATCTCAGGGCCCTGACCGGACACAGGAGATTAGAGTCAGATTCGTTATCGGATGCAGGCAGAGCCGACAGAGAAATAACATGTGCCCTGAACGGGGTACCAATCGCTTTTGGGACATAACCATGTCTAGGTTTGAGAACGACTAAGGAGTCATTGGGCCCAAACTCGAGACAGGAAGCGCTAATGGGCAGCGCGTGAAGGTCTCCCACATGTTTTACTGACGCGCGCGCGAGCAGAAAAACGGTTTAGAGCGAAAGGTATTTGAGGTCCACGGTGTTTAGCGGTTCGAATGGGGGGGCTTTCATAGCTTCGATAACTATGGAAAGGTCCCAAATCGGCACCGAAGGGGGGCGTGGGGGGTTCATCCTTCTAGCTCCCCTGAGGAAGCGGATGACCAAGCCATCTTGCCCAGTGACTGGCCGCGCCGGGGTTCAACGAACGCTGCGACGGCTGCCACATACACCTTGAGAGTGGACGGGGACCTGACAGTGGGTCCAAATTTCTGTCTGTGCACCATTTAGAGAACACAGACCATTTAGACGCATAGAGCCTTCTAGTAGAAGCCGCTCTAGCCTGCATGATCGTGTTTAACACTCCCTCTGGCAAAGCAACGGTTAGTTGTTGATCACCCACGCATGTAGCGCCCAGCGCTCTGGGTGGGGATGCCAGATCGTGCCGCGAGCTTGGGAGAGGAGATCTGCTCTGACTGGAATGGGCCACGGGGCTGTCTGTGACAGCTGAGTGAGCTCCGGAAACCAAGTATGACCCTCCCAACGCGGGGCTATGAGGGGCACCGAGTGGGGTGTTTCCCTGATTCTCTGAAGCACCCGTGGTAGCAGAGAAACCGGAGGGAATGCATAAAGCGGGCGGCTGGGCCAGGTCTGGGCTAGCGCGTCCTCACCCTTTGAGAAAAATATTGGGCAGTGGGTGTTCTCTTCTGAGGCGAAGAGGTCCACCTCTGCTCTGCCGAATATTCGCCACAGCTTTTGGACTGTAAGAGTGTGCAGGGACCATTCCCCGGGGGGAATGGGGTTCCTGGACAGACTGTCTGGACCATCGTTCAGATGGCCCGGCACGTACGTCGCTCTGAGCAGGTGACACTGAGACCAAACTAAGATGCGTTCTGTCAGCCGGAAGAGATTCCTGGATCTGACTCCACCCTGACGGTTTAGATAGGAGACCACGGCTATATTGTCCGAACGGATCAGCACGTGGTGACCGTGAATGCGCGGAAGAAAGCGCGTGAGCGCGTTCTCGACCACCAGCATCTCCAAACAGTTTAAGTGGAGGAGGCTCTCCTGAGCTGACCAGGGGCCGAAGGCCGGTGAGCCCTCGCAGACCGCACCCCAACCCGTGTTGGATCCGTCTGTCGAGATGACTTTTCGGCGAGAAAGGGTCCCCATGGAAACGCCCCGCTAAAACCATTCTGCCACAGTCCATGGCTGCAGAGCTGTGATACAGGTCTGCGTTACATTTATCAGCTGGCGGCCCGTGGTCCACGCACGGTGAGACACACGGCTCTTCAACCAGAGCTGAAGCAGGCGCATGCGCAGTAACCCCAGCTGGAGCACCGCGGAGGCTGAGGCCATGTAACCCAACGCCTTCTGAAAAGTTTTCAGAGGTGTGAGTCTGTTCATCTGAAAAGATGCTGCGAGACGCTGAACACGGCGTGTGCGCTGTGTTGACAGACGAGCCGTCATCGTGACCGAGTCTAGCTCTATACCCAAGAAGGAGATAGTCTGACTGGGTTGTAGTGCGCTCTTTGTCCAGCTGACAGAGAGGCCCAAAGCTTTCAGATGGTCGAGGAGAACTGTACGATGAGACAGTAGCTCTCTCTGTGATTGTGCCAAAATCAGCCAGTCGTCCAAATAGTTCAGTGTTCGCAGCCCCTGACTCCGCAGGGGGGCGAGCGCCGCATCCATGCACTTCGTGAACGTACGGGGTGCTAAAGGATAGGCAGAACGGAAGGACGGTGTATTGATAAACCTGGCCTTCAAAGGCGAAACGTTAGAATGGCCTGTGAAGGGGATTTATCTGAATCTGAAAATAAGCATCTTTATCTGAATCTGAAAATAAGCATCCACAGGCTCGTGGGCGCGCTTATGCACTCTGAAACTCAAGCGGGTTGGAACCGCTTTATGAGAGTGGACTCTGTGTGAAACACGGGAACTGAAGTGCTTTTGTGTATGAGTGAACACAGTGTTGTGGGCACATTTTCTACACAGGAGGCTTTTATGCTCTTTATGAGATTTTTCTGGGTCGCCGTGAAAACAGCGTTTGTGCTCATGCAAGCGGGAAGGGAGACCGCGGCGGGAGAGCGCCGTCATTTTCTCAGCTGTGCTAGGCAGACTTCGAGTGATCGGATTTCAGCCCGATCCTAGGCCGAGGCCCCCGATGAGGCGGCGGTCTGTGGCGGCTGTCAGAGCGAGAACGAGGGCGGCCGCCCTGGCGTCACTGAGAAGTCTGACTGTGCTGAGCTGGGCGCTGGGGTGGGGCTCGTGCAGGAGGCAGGTCACGTGAGCGGCCTGCAGAGGAGCTAGCGCGACGAGGCAGAGAGAGATTTATGGCCTGGGAGGCTTTCTACACTTCGGAAAATCGGTCGACGATACCCGTGACAGCAGATCCGAAGAGGCCGGATGGAGAGAGCGGGGCGTTGAGAAAGGCGGCGCGCTCAGAATCTCCCCTGTCGGCGAGTGTGAGCCACAATGTCTCTCAGACACACAAATGGCGGCCATGCATTTCCCCAGGGCTTGAGCAGCAGATTTTGTAGCGCGATGGGCAATGTCCGTGGCGCTCCTCAAATCCGCGACTGAAGGGGGATTTTTTCCCGCTCTCGTCCCATTCACGAAGTATGTCACCCTGTAGTATCTGAAGGACGGACATGGACTTGAAGTGCAGAGGCTGCTTGGCCGGCGGCTGAGTAAGCGCGGGCGTGAAAGCTTGAAGTCGCTCTGCAGGCTTTAGAAGGAAGCACAGGTGATGAGCGCCATCTCGTGGAGGGCGGGCACAGATGTGCGGCGACCAGGTCCTCTACAGGGGGAATGGAAAGATAGCCCTTTTCTGCGGCTCCGTCCACAACGCGAAGCGGGGCGGAAGAGTCAGAGCGAGTTCTAGCAGAGAGCGGGGCGTTCCAGGACTTCGTGAGTTCCGCGTGCAGTTCAGGCAGGAAGGGCGCGGCCCGTTTAGTGACGGGAGTCGAGCGCTGGCGGAAGTAGCTGCCGTCCATACGGTTGATGGTCTGCTCGGGGGGAGGGGACCAATCGAGCCCGAGGCGTTCGACGGCCTGTGAGAGGAGGCGCACTAATTCCTCCTCGATTCCAGCGCGGGTCCCAGAGGATTCTCGGGCCGAGGAGGCGTGAGAACCGGACCGTGAGAACAGTTTTCCTTAATGTCCGCGGCGTCATCGGAGGCGACAGAGCGGCCACTCGGCGGCAACTGTATGTCCGGAAAGCAGCGGAGAAGGAGAGCGGGAGGCGACAGGCTCCGGCAGGATGAACGCTTCTAGCTGGGGTTCCGGCGGCCTCTGAGAGCGGCGTTTCTTCTTCCGCGGCGAAGTCAGAGGTGGCGCGGAAGCAACTTTAGTGGCCTGAAGTCGAGCCAGTAGGGTCGACAACGGCATGTCCTCGCAGAGATCGCAGCCGCCATCGGCGAGGGCGAGCTCGGCGTGCTCCAATCCGAGGCAGAGAGCGCAGATGATGTGGCGGTCTCCAGTCTCGAGGGGAGCGCGACAAGAACCGCAGGAGGATTTACGAGACATCTTTAAAAAGACGCTCGGCTCTTTTAGATACAAATAAGTATAGGAAGCTTTTTTGTAAAAAGGATACAAATCCGTCGGATGGCGCTAGCTCGCAGGACGGCTGAAGGTGGCGAAGACGGCCGGCTTCCTTAGTCTCCCAGATGCTCGCTAGAGTTGCCTTTTCGACGACGGCGGCTTCTCTCAGGAACAGCAGATGCGTGTAGCCTCGCTGAAGAGATGAAAATCAGAGTTTACAGCCTAGGACGCCAGTGTTATTCTCTCTGACCACGCCCGTTTCGGCGGGCTCTGACGTAATGAGAGCATGTCAGACTCTCATTGGCCGAGAGTTCATTCGCGTCTCCTCATAGGCTTAAGCAGTTCTCTGTGAGCGAACCAATGAGCTGCTAGCTAGCCCGCTCATGGTCTGCTGCAGCTGAACTGCGTTGACAATGGATACAAAATTATAGGATAATTTTTTGGCTTCAATTTCTCAGAAAAGATGAATCTTTCCCGTAGCGTAAGTTAGCTTACGCAATACGAGAGAACCTCTCGTAAGAGAACTAGTGTCTGTGCAATAAATAAAAAAACACAGAAGGCCATTATGAATATGTAACATGTGTGATATGCTATACAGTGGTGCTTTGGGACACACCTTCCTACGGTAGAGTTTCACAAAACGTTCCCGTAGTTCAAAAAAGGTAGATTTCACACACGTGTTGTTGGCTAAGGCCAACAGAGAATGTGAGTGACACACAGGAGGGACTGAACACAGGCTAGTCTTCCATCCCTCCTGATTCCATGGGACAAATGGCAGGGTGGGCTTTAGCCTAACAAAGAAGAAAAAAGAAGAACACAGATTATTCTTTACTTCGAAATAGAGAGATGCATGTAAATGATCATGGATTATATACAGATCACTTCATTAAAAGAGAGATATACTATAGCTCTATTCCTACTTAGACAGCATTTTAAAGCGTCACAGGAGTGCTCCTAATGCAAAGTCTTTCAAATAGTAGACAACAACATCCACAAAAAAGATGCTGCGAGTTGGCCAAAATCTAGGTCAGCAACTTTCAAAGATAAGACAGTGGATGAAAATAAAGAAATATAAATAGTCATATTTCCTTAAAGTTGTGGTATGCAACTTTTGCCTCTCTATCACCATCTCTGTTTGAAACATAAAATTGCAAGTTACTTTAGTTATTTATTTATTTTTTGTGAGTATTTTGAGTAGTTTTTATTTATTAGTGCTTCAGCTTTGCTCCTCTGTGTGGATGAATCGGTGATCACAAATTAGAATGGATCTGACATTGTACATCGACATGACAATAAGAAGTATGTCCTATTAGGCCACATGTGTCAAACTCTGCTCCTGGAGGGCCACTGTCCAACAGAGGTTATCTCCACAACACCTGGACACAAGAGAACCCGGTTTCTTTTTTGATCCTCTTCTGTATTGAAGTGATCTCAGACCCTTTCTTGTTCACACCACAACCTCAAAAGAACTCGGATCCCAGCTTTCTGTGCAAAATGCTACAGACTTCACTGTAAAAATTATACATTGATTCTTATTTAAGCTACTGAAGTTTTTCAGTGAAGATCAGGGAGTGATTTTCTCTTATGTTGTTTTAATTAAGGACTAGCGGCAGCATGTGTATTATTTGGTTGCTGCCACTTTAAAAGCTCACGCAGAACGGATAAAGACACGCATCCGTTTATATTCCAACTGTCTACTTTCACTTTAGACACAACCGACTGTTTATGTATTTTTTGTGTGTATTTGACAGTTTAAGCCCAACAAGATTCGAAAGATAACTTAGAAAAAAATCATAGAAAAACTACGAGAAAAACTCGTAGAAAAAAATGCTAAACCTTAACTTTTTTCCCTGGCACAGACGCGTATGGGCAAGTTTATCCACCGCTAATTTCTGACACAAAGTGACGAGTTGTCATATTTATGTCATTATTTTTTGAGAATGCAAGACACACAAACACATGCCTATCTTCATAATTCTAGTTTTGACTTCTAAAGTTTTTTGAATTTGACCCAAATCTTACATTTTACTTGCACTGCACTGCAATATATTTTATTCATGATTAATATTGCATTGCAAAATAATGTCAACTAGTCTAAAATTAAGAAAACCCTAGAAAACATTAAAAAATAAAATAAAATTAAAAATTAAAAAAGTAACAAAAATAGATGTGTACATTTAAGAAAGTTCTACTTAATTTATTATTCCAATATCCAAATATAATACTTGATGAAAAGAAAAAAGGGCTTTTATTTGTGACGTGCTGTCTTGCATTTGAACATTGCACATTTTAAACGGGACACGCATTAGCTGAATAAACGTTAGCCAATACAAACAAACTTATAAAAAACAGTTGACAATGAATAGACAGGAGTTCTGTCACAGGACCAATAATAGCAAAACGAATCACTTATTCTAAAAAAAATAAAAGTATAAGTTAGACGAATCTGACATAGGGCTGTGTTAATAGTAAAAAATCCGTCGAACGGATGGATAATAAAAAAATGCTTTCTGACATTTTGACAGGAAAAAAAACAACAACCAAGAACTAAATTTAAAATTAGACCGTCAATTTTAATTGTACAATTCGGCTATCTTCTCCTTCTGTGCGCGGTCTGTGTTTGTGAGATTGAGAGCTCGCGCGGCACTGATACAACGGTACTTTTTAATCCATAAGTAACTAACGCGCTAGTTTTCATACAAAATTATTATGTAACATAATTAGGTACTTTAGTTATTATTAACACAATAACGTAACACATGCAGGCTACGTTTCTCAACACTGAGAATGAATAAATAAACACCTGTTTCTCCAGACTCGCGCTTATCAGTAATCCACAAATCACAGCACTTTCATAATCACTAAGCCATAGCGATTTTAATTTTATTTAGACTTATTGTTCATCAATACTTAAGCATTTTATAATTTGCATGGCTGTATGATGTCTTCCTCTTATCGGAGTGACCATGAATGACGGAGTATTTTAAAATAATCGATGCGATCACTCCCGTGTGATAATCGAATACAGATTAAGTTAACTCAATACAATATTTCAACTTTCCACATCCACCGCAGCCCGTTTACCTTCAGGAGTCAGAAGTACCGTGACTACTGTCCTCGCTTATGAACTCAGTCAGAGGCGGCCGCGGGAGTGAAAGGGGGATCGAGCCGGATTCTTTATTGCTGTCGATTTTCAGTCTCTTTTTAAAGGAGCCGTATGTAAGATTGTGGCCAAAACTGGTACTGCAATCACTTTCAAATGACTGTAGAGCGGTGTATCCCCTAATTTAGCCTAATTTAGCGAATTTAGCCCTAATCAAACACACCTGAACAAGCTAATGAAGGCCTTTAGGATCACTATAAAACTACAGGCATGTGAGTTTGATCAGGGTTGGAGCTAAACTCTGAAGGAAAGTGGATCTCGAGGGCCAGAGTTGCCAAGCCCTCTATTACCTATGGTATTGAGATGCGTCTTCATTGATTTGATCACAAGTGGTCAGTTGAGATACGCATTACCATTTACACCTGGTATTAAAGGGACAGTTCATCCAAAACTGAAAATTCTGTCATCATTTACTCACCCTCATGTTATTCCAAACCCATAAGACTTTTATTCATCTTCAAAACACAAGTGGATATATTTTTCAACTTACATAGATAAAGCACATCAAATATGGTCAACGACAGCTCAACCGTACTTGCTTAATGCATGTACCTCGTTTGTTATCGTGTTTCAAGCAAGCACGATTCAGCTTTTGTTTACCATTTTTTATATTCATTGAACAATGTTTATATGCGAATAAAAGCCTAGATTAGGTCTGTTCATTATATAAAGTTATCATGTATCTTCAAAAGACTTGTATTAAACCGCTCGATTCATCAGGATTACTTTAACAATGTCTTTAAAGGTTCAAAGTTTAAGGTGAATGGATGGACAGAAAGCTCTCAGGGTTAAAAAAAACAACTTAATTTGTGTTTCGTAGATGAACAAGTCTTATGGATTCGGAACAACATGAGGATTTATTGATTTCATTGGTTTATTTCATTTTTGTGTGAACTAACCCTATAAAATGCACTAATGTGTTTCTTGCTAACTATTTGTTTTCCCTTCATTTTGGTAACCCAAAAGAAATCGAAGACTTTCTTTTTATTATTTTATTCTCTCTCTGTCAAAAATAATAATAATGGATGTAATGCACACAGGTTTTATAGGAATCAGTTCGCATGAGGAACATGTGCGAGCGCCTATGAAGAGGTTAGGATGCTGCCTTAGAAACCAGCTGCATGTGGACAGTCAACAGCGAGGCAGATTATTAGGTTTTGAAGTGAGAATACAAAAGATATGGATGGAAAAAAATAGACAGAAGAAGGCTAAACAAAATGGAATTATGGGACAGACGAACCGCTCAATATTTCGACGCAGATCTGACATCTGAACGTCTCCACGCAGCATAAGAGCACAGGCCAGATACAGGTTGTGTTTGGGGTCAGCTCTGATCAGCTGATGATCCTTGCTGAATGCATCTGAGAACATCTGATCCAGCCTACAAAACACAGCACAGCATTCACGTATTCACTTGATGATGAAATGAGACACTAAAGCTTCTGTGGCAGGATTTTTCAACTTCAGTCCTGCAGAGTTCAGCTCTAAAGTGGCGGGCACAAATTAAATATAGATTAATCTTTGTTAAAGCTTTGTTGTTTGATTAACATTAAAGGTGCAATAGGTGTTCTAGGAAATGCTAACTTTAGCTTGCTAGCATTGAGCTACGTTGACTGACAGGGAACACGTTATTATTTCATTCGGAACAAATGCAATGATTGAACGAACATTTTACGGTCCTAAGTCTTCCACGGACAATATAGATTTAGATATAGATTTATAATATATCTGTGGAAGTCTTCCACAGATTTATTATATTTTAAAAACACATCTATCAGGATATGAGGAGACTTTCAACCAGCATAACAGAAAATGTCTCTAGAGAATCACCTATTGCACCTTTAAAGACTTACGCCAGGTCCACACATACTCCGTTTGCAGTGCAGGAGAATATGGTGTTTGCAGTGCGCAACAGATCTGCGATCTGATCTGCTGTATACCACAAACACAACATTTATGCATTATTTTTATTTGAAATCCAAAAGTTGTTAATGAAAAGGGTTTTCACCATTGTGATTCTCTTTGTACACTCTATAGTTATACAATCTTTCATAGACATATTCATGTTTAAACGTGCTAAATTAAAAAATATATATATTCAATGCATTATCGTACCTGCGTGGTGGTACATTGACATCTGCAAGTGTGTAGAGAGGAGTTAGACTGGGCACGAGGTAGTGTAAACGCGGGAATGGTACCAGGTTCATGGCGATCTCATTCAGATCCATGTTAAGAGAGCCCTCAAAACGTGCTGAACTGCAAGAGAAGAAATCGAATCGAATTAAACGGGTGATCAAATCTCTAGACAGAAAGATAAAAAGAATCAAAGATAACAGATTACCAGTTCCATTACTTTCTATAAACTTTATTTTTATAACTACTTTTAAATTTACATAAAATCAGCTTCTAGCTAGTAAAGTTTTGATGAAGATTACAGGATTGCAATCAAAGTAAAGAGATTGCAGTGATGTACAGGAGTCATACAGTAAGCACACAAGTCTGTTTTATTGATGCACAAACATACCATTGATGCACTATTGATGTAAGAAAATCTGTAATGGTTTTGTTTCATGGGTGCTTTGGTGTGAACAAATTTATAAATTATAAAGACTATAATTTGGTTATTTGGTCTCCTTTTGGAAAATGGCCTTTTTGGAAATACACCACAATTTTCCTTTGGTGTACTTTGCTGGATATAGCAAATAATGACTAAATAAATGTGTTAAACAAGATAAATGCTGTATGCTTAATTTCAAGATAAGTGTGTGATTAATCGAGATTAAAATATTGAATCTATAAAGTCAGGCGTGAAATGCATCCAATCTATTAATCTCAATAATTCCCATGATTCCTCTTTAAAAGGTTATTTTTGGTGTGAAGATCATTCCTCTTATTATGTACTTCTCTTTTAATTCCTAATGGAGGTTTCACTACTGCATAAAGCACAAGCAAAAATTTCCCTTTTTTTGCACATGATTTAGTACCTGGTGATATTAAGAAGTAGATTGGCCACAATGTTGTTCATGGCATCAAAAGGTTTTTCGACCTTCACCACCCCTCCTTGTCCAGAGATGATGGTACAGTCCTTCTTGATAGTACAGCTTGGTTTGCCAGTGTTGGACATGTGCTGTATCTTACCAACAATGTCCACCAGAGACTAGAATAATAGTAGAGAATAATAATTCAAATTGGTATGATCTGTTCACGCTCATGCCATTCAAAAACTGTATGAGTTCCCATGCGTTTTTCTACAAAAGGAAAAATTGTGAAGAACATCAATACAGCTCTTTTCCACACAGCAAAAGCTGCAGTAATCAGGGCTGTGCTTTTTCTGTCTCAAACAGGACAATAAACCACAATAATACTAGTACATGTGACTTATAAGCTCTATTCCAAGTTTCCTGATGACACGATACAATAGCTTTGTGTATAGACCGTTATTTAAGTCATTATTTACTGAAAAACTTTCCATTCAGTGTCATTGGCACATCAACATATTCAAATTGTGTGTTGCAAAATGCAAATGGTTGAGACATGTGGCCAGTAAGGGTGTAACAATATATCGTGTCCCAATAAGCAACAATATGTATCCTGGATAATGACAATCTGTGTATTTTGTATTGTTCACTCAAAATAAAAATGACTGTGTAAAATAATTTACAGAGTTTTAGTATCAGTACTACATTAAAATAATATATAATGTTGATATAATAATGCAATGGGGGAATATTTGTGGGTCGTGTTAGTGCCAAATGTCTGATGTTAACAGTAAAAAATATAATTTTAAATATATCTAGTCAGTGACAAAGTTGTGTCACTGACAAAGTTGTGACAAAGAGTTGTGACAAAGAGTTAAAAAATTTTCGTCTAAAAAAAGTTCTGTATTTTCAGCTTCAGAATCTTGAAAATGTTTATTCTGGTGTCTCTATTGTTCTGTGCTTTGGCTTTCCAGCACCAAGTCCAAGTCTATTCATTTACACCCAATGTAATACTAAATTTAGCATTTTAGGGCGTTTTCACACCTGAAAGTCTGCACCAAGGTCCGAACCAGAGTTCATATTTTGATACATTTTATACATTCGGTAAGTTTTGGTTTGGTTTTACATCGCACTAAAGAACTTTACATGACATACTTGTGTCCTGTCGTCATCATCTATGTGGGCTGCATCTTGACATTGGTTTGTAAACGGACCTGCGTCTGACGTCAGCGTGTTGTCAATTCGGCGGGTAACTCTGACAAGAATGAATGAACAGACGCATATCATTGCCACTATACTGTTATTATTACGGCATTACTACCTATAGCACAAACTATACTCGAGGATAGTTCAAATTCGCCAAATGAACGTCCTCGTTGTGCGAACATTTTCTCGTCGCCGGCAGGAAAGGAGGAGAAGACTGCAAGCAATCCTGCGAGAACCACCGGAACGTCCTGTAAATGGTCTGAAAGTCCGAACCATACAGAAAATGCTTTCACACTAGAAACGAATCAAACCTTTGTTCAGTTTGATCCGGACCGAGACTACCTTTTTTCGTCTGACCAAATTTCGTCTGTTTGGTCCAGATCGTGGTCCGGCGGAGGTTTCACAACTGTAATTTTGATTTGGATCAAACTGAAAAGTCAGAATATCCGGACCAGACAAGGTAGGTGTGAAAGGGCCCTTAGAAAATTTTGTGTTAACTTTTTACCATATGTCTTGGAGTATCGTGATAATATCATATTGTGAGTTCAGTATCGTGATATGTATCGAATCGTGAAACGAGGGTATCGTTACACCCCTAGTGGCTAGTGTTGTTTAACATTATTGTTGTCAAATGTTGAGAGCTGGAAGAGGGAAGGACGTAATTACAAACTATAATGTGGTTTAGATAGAAACTTCTGAGGTTCTTTATGGTGTTTATTTATTGTTTGGAGCTTGCCCATTTCATTGTATTTAAAAGTGCAGTGTGAACATTCTGCCTAACATCTGCTCCACAAAACAAAGAAAAACAAATGGGAAAAACATGGGAGTAGGTAACAGATGACAAAATTTTCAGTTCTAATACCCTTTACATTTTTACGGAGTCATACCTGGTTATCGACCGGCAAGACACAGTCTGCATGTTCTGTGAGCTCTTTCATGGCTAGGACACTGTTGTAGGGAGAGGTGATGACATCATCCTCTGCCGTCGGGTAAACCGAGGTCACTATCCGGCACACCTCTGGGAACTCCTCTTCTAGAAGCTTCAACACAAATGTGCCTAACCCCGAACCAGTGCCTAAACACACAAATGTACGCTTATATCACCCCATGTTTCTCAACCACCAAATCTGAACACTGGTAACATGACAGACATCAGAAGCTCACCTCCTCCCATGGAATGAATGAGGAAGAAGCACTGAAGACAGTCACAGTGTTCTGCAGCCTTACGGACCTGATCCACAATCTGCTCTCTGTAGGTCAAGCCGTATGTGTGGTGCCCGACTGCCCTAAGGGTCATAGACCAATCACACGGTCAATCACTGATCTAGCAGTCAAAACAACAATGCATAACTAAACAAGTCAAGCAACGAAAAAGAACAGGTTAAAGAAAATAAGCTCTACTGCTTGTCCAATCCAGTTAGAGGAACTGAACTAAACTAAAAGATTCAGAGCCCTTTGTTTTCTCACCCACATTTGTGATGTTCCAGCTTTACCATAAAATGCTATTTTTTCACATAAATCTACACTCTAAATATCCCTTAATGACAAAGCAAAAATCTGAATTTTCATCAGCCATTACTCCAGTCTTCAGTGTCACATGGTGCTTCAAAAAGCATTCTAATATGCTGATTTGGTACTCAATAACAATGATGAATAGAAAGTAAAAAAAAACCAGCATTTATTTAAAATAGAATGTATTATGTTTGATTAGTTCAATGCTTACTTGCTAAATACAAGTATTCATTTTTTTACTTTACTGACCCCAAACTTTTAGATTATTATTTTTTGTGTGTGTGTGTGTGTGTGTGTGGGGGGGGGGGGGGTCTGGTATAACAACGTTACTTACATTTCAGAACAGCTTTTGCATCAATAATACACCTATATGATGATATTTGTGAACTGAAATGTTTTAACACTACAAATGTGAGGCAACATGACAAGGTCTGACACGGTTTGACTCATCTTTGGCCTCAGGTTACGACTGGTGTCATTTCAATCAAAATCAAAAGTTTCTAAATACCTGTCTAAGAAGATGACGAGCAATCGACCTTGAGCACTGGTACATGAAGAACCACTTAAACAGTCAAATCCCATAAAGTGTGACTGTTCAGTAACATGCCTGGAGGCTGTCAGGAGCTTCTGAAGTATAAAAGCACATGGGTGTGTCGACACATGAAGAATAGTAACATAGGCCCAGTTTCAACCTGGTTATAAAATCCATCTCCGGTGATCTGTGACAAGCAGATTGAAGGTCAATCTGCAAGGTTTTGTTTTACATAACCAACAATTAAATAATAAAGAGGAACAAGGATAAAATTAGTAATTTAGGATGCTTGGTTTCAATAAAAGATGTTTATCATCACACAAGAACAAACAAGAACTTCGCTGCGAGATTGATTTTTGACTTGTATTTATTTTTGAGTAGAACTTTGTAAAATGAAAAAATATTCTCTCAAGCTTCTGGTTTCTGCATTTTTCCTCTCAATCTATTCAGGTCTCAATGGCTTCTTCCTGGACCTCATCAACATCCTCCATCTCTGCTTCCTCGACATCTGACTCGTCTTCATCTTCGATGTCATTGCCTTGTCGAGAATGGCTCTGTGTCAGGCTCAAACAGGCTAAGGTTTGCCCCGGATGGCCACCAGTTTCTCAATCCTTGTATGTTGTGAATAGAATGCACCGAAATTTTGACAGCCAGATATTATCGGACGAAAATGGCATTTTCTATTTTCGGTCAAAAGAAAAACGGCTGAAAATATGAGCCGAAAATATATGCTGCCCCGGCCGTCCCTCAGTGTTCAGCGCTCAGGTTTCACTCTCGCTCTAGCCGTTATCGCTGCACTCAATATTCTGCTCGCGGTCCATGCGAACGCTTCACTCATGCTCATCAGAAAAGAAAAGTCCATTCAAATAATGTGCCGACATGAAACTTCTAATGTAGAAGTAGACTTGTTTCTGTTTGCAATAGCCCTACTGTGCTGTAAGGTGGTGCGGTATAGCCGTGACGGCCCATGCTGGTAAAATGACGTAAAATTTGTTTAAATTAAGTTCACATAACTTAATTATTTCAATTACGCATTAAGTTTATTGCTTAAAGGGGTCATGACATGAGAAACCAAATTTGCCTTGATCTTTTGGTATTTAAGTGGTCTTTGTACCATTAAAACCTCCTGCAAGTTTCATAGCTTAAGACGTCCTCCCCATTATAAACGAACCATTTATTTAATCAAGCTCTAAATACAGCTCGTTCTAGATCCTTTGAACTTAGTGACGTCACGGTACAAAGTGACGTACCAGTCGTTTGCATAGGACCGCCTCCAGCGCAAGACAACTCGATTTGAAACTTGATTAAAAAATTGAGAATCGATTTTGAATCGAATCGCGAGATTACAAAAGATTGCCACCCCTATCATATATGTGATAGCACGACTGCCATATCCCATCCTCTTCCCAAAGGCCTGGCTTGGTACGGGGTTTCACCAGACTGCCGCGAACTTTGCCTTCATAAGACCCAGGTGGTGAGACATGGCAGTAAGAAAAGTGAAAGCTCTGTTGATCTCTTCACCAGAGAGAATGCTTTTCTCATACTTTGGGTCACCAGTTAATTTCCATTAATCCCATGGAAAGTTTCCAACTTTGCAAATTCCAGGAATTATGTGTGGTATAGTGTTCCCACAGCATTAGCTACTGATGTAGCATCAAATGAACCTATGAAAGGGAACGTTTGGTTACATATGTAACCCTGGTTCCATGAGTAGGGAACGAGACACTGGTTAGCTCTGCCATACTCCATTACTGCTACAAATACTCCTCAGCAAAATCTGAGGTGCATGTCCAGCACTTCAACCATCAGCCAATGAATTGGTGTGATTCTATATGGAAAATCGTCACACCTGGGGCCGGTTGCATAAACACAGCCATTACGTTAAGACATTGTCTTAAATTCTAGTATGATGACCCACTAGCAGTTACTAGTAACACTAGCATACACTACAGTTCGGTATCAAATTAGGCTAATTATGTTTTTATGTAACATTTTAAAAAGCTATGAATAGTCTTAAAGAAAAAAATGTGATGTCTAACTTGTCAAGTCAAGTCATCTTCATTTATATAGCGCTTTTAACAATGGATTGTTTCAAAGCAGCTTTACAGAGATAAACATATAATTTAAGGTAACAGATTGTTTTGGCGTTATAGCGGTTCTTGAATAATGTTACTTCCAGCTAAAGTTAACTTTGATTGATTCACCTCCGTCGAAATGATCAGACTTTAAACGCGAACCTGTGATTAACGCTGACGGCGTTCACATGCTCATTCAGAATTCTATAGTTATGTGCTTTTTAAAATATGCGCGCATGTTTGTAATTCATACAACCCAGCCTAAACAAACTACTTTTCTTGCCTATAAATTTTGATACAGAATTTGTTTTATTTTATCACTTCGGGGTACGCGAGCCGGAATTCACAACGCTTTATCTGTAGAGTGGGAAAGGGATCCTCCATAGGGAGAGGATAGTGGATACTTCAGCAAGACTTGTAAGACTAGTCTTAGAGATTTTTGCAACCGGCCCCTGGAGGGTGGTACATAGCGCCAGCTACTGACCCAGTGTCTCGTTCCCTACTCAGGAAACCAGGATTACATGCGTAACTCCATCACTTGTTGTTTTTCTGTCTTACATTTCTTTTTTGACTGTGAAATAATGGCCTGGGCTAGTGCTGCCACCTTGTGCAAGCTGGTTGGAGAAATCAGGCTGTGCGTGTAAAGTGTACATACCCTAGCATTAGCGCAAAAAACAAAGTATTACTTTGGGCTTTAGCCATGGGGTTGGAGAGGATGTAATGCCATACATTCTGAGCAATGTGTGTATGCCATAGTACGTGTAGCATGTGTCTGAATTACAGAGGCCTTGGGACGGAAAGTAAGCGGTCATTGACAGGCAGACAATAATTTACAGCAGGTTTTGACAGGTACCTGTGCTCTTAATTTACTTAGTTTAATTTACTGCTTAGCAGAATCTGTTGACACATTTCTCTCTTTGCAGAGTATATAACACCGTACTGTCCAGCCCTAGTAAGCACTGTGTCCGTTTTAGAAGCATGTAGACAGTGTGACAGAGTCCCTGCTGAGACAGACCCTCACCAGTTGTTGCCTGAACCAGAGACATCACTTATGAGTTGTGTGCTGTTGAAGAGAGAACGCAGCGGTCCTTGCAGAATCTCTCCTAGGACTCCCTCCTCCATGTCCACTAATACGGCCTGCAGACAGACACACACACACACACACACACACAAATTTTTTCAATTGTTGGTCCATGTACACATGTAAAGGATTAGTTCACTTCAGAATTAAAATTGACCGATAATTTACTCAACCCCACGTCATCCAAGATGTTCATGTCTTTCCTTCTTCAGTCGAAAAGAAATTAAGGTTTTTGAGGAAAACATTCCAGGATTTTTCTCCATATAGTGGACTTCAACGGGTTGAAGGTCCAAATTGCAGTTTCAGTGCAGCTTCAAATACTCTACACGATCCCAGCCGAGGAATAAGGGTCTTATCTAGCCAAACCATCGGTCATTTTCAAAAAAAAAACAAACATTTATATACTTTTTAACCACAAATGCTCGTCTTGCACTAGCTGTGTTGCACCACATGTTACGTAATCACGTTGAAAGGTCAAGCGTGACGTAGGCGGAAGTACAGACCTAGTGTTAACAAAACAAACGTGCAAAGACAAAGTCAAACACCATTTACAAAATAAATAAGTAAATAAAAGGTAAAACAACGATGTCGGACGATTTTGAAGTTTTCCACCTACAGTACGTGACACGTGACGTGACCTTTCAACGTGATTACGTAATACATGAAGTCGTGGACGTGCAAGATGAGCTTTTGTGGTTAAAAAGTTTTTTGTTTTGTTTTTTTAAATAGAAAATGACCGATTGTTTCGCTAGATAATACTCTTATTCCTCGGCTGGGATCGTGTAGAGCCCTTTGAAGCTGCATTGAATTTGATTTTGGAGAAAAATCCTGGAATGTTTTCCTCAAAAACCTTAATTTCTTTTCGACTGAACACACACACAGCATAGCAGTCAGATACCACAGTCCTGTCTCCATGCTCCAATCCCAATACATCACCTAACATGGTGCTCACCCTGGCCTTTAGAGCAGTGATCCTGCCCCCTGTAGCGTCTGCTCCACTCGCTCTCCTACAGAAACACCACACACACACATGAGATCCCACAATAACTCAAGAGGATCAGCAGAGAGGATGACATGTGGACAAACAGAAGGTCGTGAACAGAGTAGAAGAGAGAGCAACAGAAGAGAGAGAGCCTACCTTTGGTCAACATTTCTAAAGAAGCTGCTCAGCGCCTCATCATAAACTCCTGTCTGCAGAGACAAAATCAAGACTCAGTTAATGAGGTTTTCTAATCTTTGATATCATGTATATTGTGCAGGGGGTAGTAAACATGAGCAGAACTGTATTGTTTAGATGAAGGTTAGATGTCCACATATCGGATGTGTGTTTGATGATTTAAAACCACATTTGGAAGTGGCTCAGGATTTTGTTGCGCCAGCTTAAATAGTGTCCTTTTTGTGTTGCATTCACATTTTTTAAAATAAATTTTATGGCGAATCTTATAAAAACACACAGAAATACTAATAAGCGTAAAGCAAAATTTATACATCACGACTTGACGAAACAGGATTATTTTTTAGGGATTCACGATGTATCAGCCGGAAAAAAATTTTATTTCACTATCAGCTATCAGCCGATTGTAGCTATTTTATTTTCCAACCTAGTTATTGGTAAAATCCACTATCGATTGACCTCTAAAGACAAGTGTTTATGAAAACTACCTTATGCGCAACTGAGTTGCATACAAACATTTCAGATATTATTTGAGTGTAATTATTATATCTGAAAATAAATAGCAGTTGAATATAATTAGAGATGCACGATATTATCGGCACAACATCGGAATTGATGTATATATAATATAACAATATAAGATATAACAATCGGCATTGACCGATATGAAAAAAATGATGTTGATATGCCTTGCCGATATGATAACAGATATGCGTCTGCAATAACTCACGTGTGCAAGGAGTGTTAGCGATAAGATTCTTGAAGTGAACTTTTGCATGTATGGGTTTTATATTAGGTTTTTTTTTATTGATGCCTTGAATTTGTGTACGCCCGAACAGAAGGACTCGTCCGCTGTGTGATACCCATCAACAGCCACTCTCTAGCGCGTGCAGCAGCAGAAGGTCCTCAGGGTCCTAGTGCCCGCCCGGTACAATGTTCTATTTATTTAGTGGGGGTGCTGTTTTTATGCTAATAAAATGAAATTTATCTATCTGCACTCAAAGCGCTTTACACATGAAAGGGGGAATCTCCACAACCACCAACAATATGCAGCACCACCTGGATGATGCGACGGCAGCCATATTGGGCCAGAACGCCCAACACACACCAGCTTATTGGTGGAGAGGAGACAGTGATGAAGCCAATCAGAATATGGGGATTATTAGGAGGCCATGATGGACAGAGGCCAATGGGAAGATTTGGCCAGGATGCCGGGGTTAAGGCCCTTGCACACTGAGTCCGAAATTCGTGTCCGAAATTTTCGCACGTTAAAAAATAAATACGTCCTCACGTTATGTAAATCACACTTGCACACTGCCTCCGAGACTTTCGTCCTTCATAAAAAAAAACCGGATCGGGTTCGATTTTCTGCATTTATCGCATCCGTAGCAAGCATTTTGAATGGTGTTTTGACAATTCAGAGCCACCGAATCACGAATATGAAAAAACGCATACGAAAATTTCAGACTCAATGTGCAAGGGCTACTCTTTTTCCAAAGGACATCCTGGGATTTTTAATGAACACAGAGAGTCAGGACCTCGGTTTAACGTCTCATCCGAAGGACGGTGCTCTTTGACAGTATAGTGTCCCCGTTAGGGGACATGTTAGGGCCCACACAGACCGCAGGGTAAGCAGCGCCCCCTACTGGCCTCACTAACACCTCTTCCAGTAGTAACCTGGTTTTCCCAGAAGTCTCCCATTCAGGCTCAACCCTGCTTAGCTTCAGTGGGCTGATATGGCTGCTGTCTAGATCTACAAATGTTAAATCCCCCCCAAAAAATACTGCATCTGTCTGGGGGGTGGGGAAACGTGACTGACTTTATTATTGTTATTTTCAGAGATTTTAAATGTACTCTTATTATAAACAGAACTTTATTTATAAAATGTATTTATCTTTATTACACAGCTCTGTGGTATACTTGATTCTGATAGCACCATCCAGTGGTAAGTTATTCCCAGATAACAAGAAACAGAAACACAGGCTCATGCAGGTCACTGAAGTCAGCAGCGCTATACGCTTGCTAAGAACGGTTTTCTTTGTGGAAGTTTGTTGGAAGATATAAATTATTAAATCTCAGTCAAATCAATATTTTGTGTACAGTTATTTAATTATGCCATCCAGTATCATGGACTCGCTCTCTCTTGTTTCATACAAACGCAGCTGATGACATTTTGCGACTATTGTTTTGTAAACTGTTGGATTATAAGACAACAAACAGGTACGATTTTAAAACAGTTTCATCTCAAATCAATAACTCTTATCCCCATAATGATTTATGTGGTGAAATACTGTGTAATAAGTGGTTTGACTGTACACCGTATCTCTTAAATGTCCGTCTAGTTTGTACTTGCCGCGCTGCAACTGCTCTCTCCGCGGAAGCTTTGATTTAAAAGAGCTAATAAAATATTTCGACTCAGATCAATATTCGTTGTCTAATTATTTACTTATGTGGCAAGTAGCTGTGTAATAAGCGGGATAATCTACATCCAGCCGGTTGTTATATCAGAATAAACTCCTTCAGGCTGATGAAAGACCCGATCCTGATCACCCTGTCGGGGTTTATTCTGAGATAACAACCAGCTGGATGTACATTATCCCTTACGTATCGCATAACCTTTTGGTAAGGAGACCTCAGAACTCTGAAACCAGAATGAAAAATAAATCGTTTTTGCTTAATACTAATGGAAATGAAAAATAATTATTAATTCTTGCACGGGAGAGACTTGGAGTTGTTTTCAAACAAAGAGAAAATAAATGTATCGGCTATCAGCCAAAATGAGTTCTGAAAGTGATTGCAATGATATCCTCTGTGCCGTTATCGTTATAGATGAGGTGTGAACTCTGCTAATCTTTTATATTCGTTATCGTCCTTTGTGTGAACGGGCCTTTAGAGAGATTTAAACTGTAAATAGTATCTGAATCTAAATAACAGAAGCTGAAATACAAAAAAAAAACGTTCGATTTTTATTTAAAACAAAACGATACTAAGATTATATAAAACTACTAGATTTAACATGTATAACCAGGGTCGTTTATGAACATTTTGGCACCCTCTTCCCCCTTGTAGATTAAACACTCCTAACTTAAAGGTAGGGTATGGGATTTGCAAAACGGCTGGCAGATTTTGAAAATGCACAACTCCAACCTCCAACGCTGGCCCTGACTCCACCCATTCGAAGAACATGGACGCGCAATCATTAGGGCTGTCACTTTACGTTCGAAAATCGATTGCACAATCGATCGGACCAACCAACACAAGAATCGAAAACGAAAATAGGGAATCGATTTTAACGGCCTTTTTGTTTGTTTTTTTGTTTTTTTACCAAAAATGTGTTTTAGGTGGACAGATCAATACAGAGCTACTTCCCGCTCAGCTACTGTTCGGACGCTCTTGCTTACTGCTCCGCGCTTTGCTCTATCGCTTTTATATTTTTTATTGCTCTATCGTTTATATTTTATTTCCTTTTATCACCTAATTTTAACTTCAGCAAATCAGCACAGTGCTCAAACGCTTGATTACTAGAAAAAAGCAGAATTCTTTTCTCCGACCAGCCTCCCACTGAAAGCTTACATTCAGGGGAAGAGAAAACACAACTGCCTACATTCATAAGGACAAGAGAAAATGCCTCTTCTGGAATCTACTTGCTGCACTAACTGCCAGAGACTTTTACAAAGGATTGCAGTTCTTGAAACAAAGTTACTTGTGGGACCACCAAACCAGACGGAACACACAACAGAGCTTCGTCATGGACGCCCTCAGCATACAGCCGGTGAGTCCCATGAATCTAGTGCTCCTCGACAGGCTATACTGAGTGTAGAGAAACAAGCCGATCGACTTACAAATCGATGGCACAAACAGGGAGCGAGACCCAAAGGCACTCGAGACATCAGATTGTCACGAGCATCACATATTGCCGCAGTAGCATCCTCTACCCCAGATACGGCTCTGACAAGGATTGCAAACACTGGTCTCCTACCACCGCCTATACATCTTAAGAACAGATTTGAAGTATTAATGAATGAGGAATCCCTGAATGTGATGAATGTGATCGAACACAGAATGAATAAGCCAGTAGCTAACACTAATGCTAACTGGCGCTCAAGGTCGAGCAGACAGCGGCACTCAGCTCAGAGCGCAGCCGAGCCCAGGACTCTGATAGTGGGTGACTCGATAATCAGAAACATTATTAGCAGGGACACAACTACATGCTGCCTTCCACAAGCAACGACTTCTGATGTAAACAAGGAACTTCAGAACATTCTGATGAAACATAAGACTGCAAATCGACTCATTGTTCATGTGGGGAAGATTGATATTCAGAAAGAGCAGTCAGAACTCCTTAAGAAGGATTTCAAGGAACTTTTTGAAACACTTAAAAGACTGAAAGTTCAGACATTCATCAGTGGACCACTCCCAGCAGGAGGAACAAACAGGTTTTCACGGTTGCTTGGGCTTAACACATGGCTGCAAAAAACCTGCAATATAAAAGGAGTGAACTTCATTGACAACTTCAATCTTTTCTGGAGTCAGAGGCAACTGTTTCAACAGGATGGGCTCCACCCAAACAAACTTGGCTCAAGAGTGCTAAAGGACAATATCTATTTCACCCTCCATCATCCTTCTGCAGTGTGTGCCAATCCACTCAACCTGAATGGCACACACACACCTGGACACAGTATGAATGACCACAGGACTTCACTTATGCACCTGAATGGACATGCGGCCGACACATCACACAAGGACAATGATAACACCACTCAGCCACAACAACCTCTGCTCACGGACACAATCTCAGCTGAGCCCTGCCCACAGAGCTCACCACAGACAGACTGTGACATACTAGAACTGCTAGAAGATTCAGCACCCAAGGACGACTTTCTGGAAAACAGCCAGGGAATACAGGACAGCATATTACAGCCTCCGATAACACCAGAGCAACAGCCCCTCTCACCAGACACGTTATCCCTCTCTCCAGCAACTCCACTTCTGTGCTTCTCAGAGAAAATGGAACAAC